TTTGTGTGTGCAGCTACTAGCTTGCCTGTTGGTTGTGTTGTGATCGTGTTGCAGCAATACCACACGCGCGAAGTGCAGCTATCCCCTGTGGTTTTCAATGTTAGGATCGCACATATCGGGGTCTTGGCACAGGGTTGTGCGTTCGAAAGTCGCCGTACCAGCCGTTTTAGATTTCGGAGCCTTAACGGCAAATAGTCCTTGTCGTAAGCGGATATAACGTTTTTCTCGCTGGTAGGTATCCTCATCATTGCTGCTCTGCCACGTGGCATGACCCCTTTAGCGCGTGTGTCGACGGCCATTATTTCCGCAGAAGGAGCATCAGGTGACGAACACGCCAAGGAGTTGGATATCTTTCTGGATCGAGGCTTAAGGCAACAAGCGTAGCAAGTTGATTTTTCGAAGTTTGGCGCGTGAGGGTTGTCTTACAGATAAGTTTATTGCAATGTAGACAGTTCATTTCTGATGATATTGCGATCATTGTGTAACCATGCTAGCTTTTTTCTGAGGAGGGAAATGAAACAGATATTAATGAAAGATACGTCCAATTGTTTGGTATCAACAGAGGAGAAAGTAGAATATGTAACGGTGTTTGTTTCGCATCGCACGCACCGGTTTCCCATTGCCGCTGTAAGACGGCCAATACACAGCGGAACCTGTTGTAAAGCCGTCCGTATCTTTGTCATAATGGATTCATCGATTCACCGTAGCCAGCCGTAGTTGGGATCGTGCAGTAGCCCTTGAACGTTAGAATGTGAGCTTTCCCTCACTGAGTGGTACGTCCTGCAATTTATTCGGGATGGAAAGGGCAACGTCGAGAAAAAATCGGTGTTAAATTTTGAATAATAATAAACTCTTTGGCAAGCAATGTTGTACGTCGATCGGCGAAATGCGCGGTGTATTGATGTACACACGTTGAAGATGTTCACACTGTGGACTGTAGTATTGTAATGGAAAGTAGAAACAAGCATGGTCGTACCTCACCTTCCTTCCTTGGACGGACAAGAGGTGGTCACCAAACATCCGTTTTAGTTCTCCGTCTTCGGCATTCATTGACGCGAGGTTGGAACGACAATTGTGCGCCCGGGATTCTATGCGGAATTTTCGTGCGGATGAATGGGCGGATGTAGATGTGTGGAGATCTTGCGGAATCCGAGGCAGGGGTGGTGGTAGTCGTGGAAGAACGTATTTCTTTCCCATTTTTGCAGCATGTCCCGTTAGACTCCTTGGCGAACAGCATGTGCCCCCACAATGTTTGCAAGGGTCAGCGCATTCCACCGCCATACACCTTTCGTCGCACGCATGAAGGAGTGCTTCACGTCGATGGGTATTGACGGTGTTCAGACGCGTTATGTCTCCCCGTGAATGCATGATGTTGTGGATCGTCGATGCAGTTCCTGGAGAACGTTGCGAACTCAAAATGTTGTCCAGACGACGATCCCTCTTCGCCGCAAAAATATCAGATCTATCTGCGTTTATTCTCATGGGTTTGACGTCTCCTGTTGGAGGATGCCTTGGGCTTGCGCAAATCGCTGTCGTTCATTCATTTTTTGTCCTCTTGGTTGTTGTATGTCCGTCCGAACAGTAATAGCTCGGAGGTGTCAAAGTGAAGTGTAGATGTCATTGACAGCGATAGTTGCGACAACAGTCAAAACTCTATTTTGCACGTGTTAGAGTAGTGGACACATAATTACGCCGACTTTGAAGGTTATACAAAGAGGTACTTGTTTACATTCACGAAGAAGGCGGTCTGCATATAATCGTGCTCTTGATTGTTGATTCGATGGACGAGGACACGCTTGCTTCTGATGTTGTTGGCGGGTGACCCACACATAGAGTCCGCTTGCATGTCTTCTACCCACATTCAAAATCCTGTTGCACAATCGTTATACAGAAGCGTGGACTGTGTGCGTGATACAGAATTGCAAGCTGTGTACCTTCGTTTTCGTAATCTACACCGTGCAGTTGTAGTGTGATGGGTGCATGTGCTTGGGACAGCAGCTGCTTGGGACAGCAGCAGCAGCAGCAGCAGCAGCAGCAGCAGTGCATAGATTGACATGCTTGGACGCTGAGCACGTCGACGAGTTACCATTACCTGCAGTGACAAACACATCAAAGGTCGCAATAGCCGTCTGCTGTACCGCAGACGGTAAGAGGTTCCGTGTATCATGCAGTCTCCCTCGTGTATCTCGAGTCCTTCAACGCTGTACTGTTGTTGTACGTATCACACGCTACAAGCCAGCAGTACATACTACAGTATGTCCTGTGCGTTTCAGCCCCCGTGACCTGCAATGACACACCGGCAGAAGGCCAACTGTTCGCTGTACAGCAGTGGGAAGCTGTGTGGATCGCGCAATTACCGTTTTAACGTCAACAGAGACCTCGGGTTCTGTCCACGCATGCACATCTTGAAAAGAATTCCAAGAAACGCTGAAAAATTGTGTAGAAAAATTCCTTCAGCATTTTCTAGTAGTGCGTCCGACGATGACATTCCTACAAATAATCTAGGGTTCCCACCTGTGCTTTTTTTGACCTGAAATTTTGACACGAGCGGTTTTTTTGACCCGAGAGGTTACGCCGCCTCTTTCGGGTCAAAATTTCCAGGTCAGATTTTTCTGGAAGACGTGTCAAAATTCGGGGCGAATTTTTTTTTGACACGAGGTGCCCCCGAAGCCCCCACAAAGCGATCAACTCCGCCTACCAGCTCGCAAAGCACTGCCGCACACCCACACACGTCTGCAAAAACAATCCCGGGAGCACATCGCACTCCTGCTGGTGCCAATCCGCGTCAGGGACGGTTGCGTTCATCGAGGGTTCGAGAAAAAAACAGGTCGACGTTGGTCCGAAAACAAGCACAGGAGTGATTGCCAACATAACAGCAGTCGGGCGCCCCACCCGTGAAGGGGAGGTTTAGGGCTGCCTGTGTTGGGGGATTTGTTCTGGAGCTCTTGCAGCAGCAAGCGAAAATGAGGCTTCTCGAACCTAAAAAGCTCCTTGAAGTCGAAGCCTCCGATAGCGTCGAAGATGTTGTACATCGGGTACACACCCTGCAGGGTTGTAGGCGCTACTAGCTCTTGGTAGGCCTCCAGTTTGACAAGACCAAACATGGTCATCACGAGAAACAAGTCCTCCTCTCCGGCCAATGCGCAGAGCAGGGCCAGAGCCATGATCTGCATGCATTCATCATACCGCTCATAGCGGATTCTACCTCGTTCAAGGCGCGCCATTCCCTCGGTTCGTAGCGTTTACGGGGTGGAGGCTCCGAGGCTCAGCCGTTAGGTTTTCGGTCTTGCGCTGAGTGTTTTTTTAAAATCGAGATTTCGCCGCTGCTGAGCTCCGAAAGGTAACAAGCGGCGAAATAAGTTCGTGTCAAAATATCAACCGTCACTTTTTTTTGACCCGAGCTGCCTTGTGTCAAAATTCTCGGGTCAAAAAAAGGTGGGAACCCTAGAATATACATTCTTGATTGTTGCAAACTTGACCGACGCCGACACCACGCTTAGCAGGGACAACGAACGCCCGCAAAGTAAAAAAACTCGGAGGCAATAGCTCCCTGGGTCATCTACCCTCGCGTTCCATATCGTCCGCCTCCTCCTTAATCGCAAACCGAAGACGTCGTTGGTTAGGCGTTCCGCAAGGTGCAATTTTCAAACGGGTTGGGCAACTTGTTTTGGCGGGTCGGAAGAGTCAGGCTGACAGTCTTGTTCATTGCTTTGCCGGCAGCACTCCACCTACCCACCGCGCTGACACCCTGCAGCGGCCGTGGCGACATGTCTTTTGTGCGGCGCACGCCCGATGCCGCTGCACGTGGCATGAGCTGCACGCGCACCCACGGGGCGGTTTGGTTTGCTCTTGTTGACAAAATCGAACTTCCTCCTCTGTTGCTGCGTTTGTTGACGCGGACAGTCTTGTTCATTGCTTTGCCGGCAGCACTCCACCTACCCACCGCGCTGACACCCTGCAGCGGCCGTGGCGACATGTCTTTTGTGCGGCGCACGCCCGATGCCGCTGCACGTGGCATGAGCTGCACGCGCACCCACGGGGCGGTTTGGTTTGCTCTTGTTGACAAAATCGAACTTCCTCCTCTGTTGCTGCGTTTGTTGACGCGGACAGTCTTGTTCATTGCTTTGCCGGCAGCACTCCACCTACCCACCGCGCTGACACCCTGCAGCGGCCGTGGCGACATGTCTTTTGTGCGGCGCACGCCCGATGCCGCTGCACGTGGCATGAGCTGCACGCGCACCCACGGGGCGGTTTGGTTTGCTCTTGTTGACAAAATCGAGCTTCCTCCTCTGTTGCTGCGTTTGTTGACGCGGCCGCGTCCGTGACACCCTCTACTCCGGTCGACTTACCATACCGCTGCTTCTCCCCGGGTGACGTGATGCAGTTCGAACGCGCTGCTGGCACCGGTACTGCTACGGGGAATCTACAAGGTAAGAATGAGGCAACAACCCTGCTGCCGTAAAAACTCATGTCACATGTCGACTTGACTTATCTGGAAACATGTTCATATTGATGCTCTCCCTCTCGGCTCGGAACGTGTAGGAAGGACTATGTACCCGTGCTCTGTTCTGGGGAAGCTCACTTCCCTCCCTGGTGTCGTTCTGTCGTGGGGACGCTCACTTCGCTCCCTGTTGTCGTGCGTCGTACGCCACTGGTGATTCTTTCTTCACGTGCTGTGTGATTTTAAACACCACTACTGGCTGAAAAATAGCACATCACGCTCGGAAGCCCCGTGTTTGGTGCAACACAGACTCGCACACCCGAAAACATGCTCTCCTGCCTCCGCGGCTTCCGCTCGTACCGTGAAAGGCGGTTGTCCTTCGCTCGTGTGCGAAGTTGTTGGTTGGGTCGGAGCGTGGGCCGCGCTTTTCATTTACATCTATCTGTCGCCTCTGCTGTGTGCTGCTGCTGCAACGGTCACCTACAACTTTCATGTTGATGCTCGGCAGCTCGAATAGAAAGTGCCGGCGGACTTCGGTCGGTTGAGTGCATCTGTGCGAGAGGTGAGGGACTCACGGAAAATGCAGTGCGCTTTGTTGCCTAGACTACCTAACCAGCAGTAATTACCTGTTCAACAGGAGAGACCGCGGGCCGTTGTGTCTCTGGCGTGTGCTTGTGGTTCAAAAAGTTGTCCCCGTGGGGTGGGGCCCCTGTGCTTCTGAACGCAACGAAAATACTACGCTGGCAGTGCTGGTACGTACACGCGTGTACGTACGGCAGTAGCACATACTCGGCGGTACGGTGTACAATGTCTCGACAGACCGCGTTTATGAAGCCTTCCCTTCCGCACGACATCCCTTGCTCTCTTGTCCTTCCTCCCCTCATCTGTACTGCGGCGCAGGCGCTGCGGCGACAGCTTGATGGGCCGCAACCGCAGAAGGGAGGTTCGACGCCGACGCTCCGTCTCTCGGGCAACGGACGCGTAGCCGGCAAGCGGACGTTCCGCCACTGCAAGCAGTCGAGAGAACTACCTGACCGACAGCAGATGCCGGTGGTAAGTCAGCCCTATGAGATGATGCGGTGGCCGCGAGGTTTTAGGATACACGGTATCTGTCCCAAATCGAGCGTTGTCGTGACCGCCGAGAACCTTGGACCTTTAGCAGTAGCGCCTTTCCCTCCCTGCCCGCACGTGTACGACCATTTCTGAGGCATGACTGGGAAGCCGAGTTGGGCTTGGAGGGGATCGAGAAGTTGGCCGACTCTCAGCCTGGGCGGCAGGTCGCCTCTCCTCCTCCTGCGGTAAGGACGCGTATAGAGCCACCAAGGCGATCACTCCATACGCGACATCTTTGACGGTTTCCAACTACTTCACGTGGGGAAAAGTTGGGAACACGGTCATGCGGGGGCATGCGCAAGTACACCGTATCGACGCCGCTCGGATCGCTCCCCGTGAAACACATGCAGTGTAGCACCCGTTTTTCATGTCTTCAGCATCAGAGCGACCCATCATTGCTTCCTGCACCAAAGAACCTCCGTTGTGTACTTGTTCTGTGTCGACGCATACTCAACTGCAGCCGAGGCAACACGTTCAACGCTGGAAAGCGCCGAGGCAATCGTCGGGGTCACAGGCTTCGACGACCCCTTCCAGTGCCATCTCCTCCGGCGGCCGACGCGGTGTCGGTCGACGTGCCTACCCCCACCCCGCCCGGTTGCCCGGGCCTGCTTTGCAATCGGTGAGTCAACTGAAACGGGAGAGGGGTGCCTTGGGTGCTGAACGACGCTTTTCTTCGATGGTTGCGATTCTGCCAAGGAAAAGTGATGTGCTGAACGGCGGTCGCCCGTTGTTCTTTTTGGACTCAAGGCCTTGGCCTTCCAGATCATGCCGCTGTGGTTGAACGATCGACCAGCAGGTCGAAGAGCCGGACGGCAAAGCCGACGCCGGCGCGGCGGCACCAGCGACAGGGTTGAGCCGCGGGACGAACAGCCGAGCGGCCAAATCAGCGGCGGCAGCGACGGCGGCCGTCGCCGACCGCTACGACGTCGACCGCCCAGGAGGCCACGACCACGACGGTGTAACGGCCTCGCCGCTCGGCAACAGGCTCGTCAACGGAGCGATGAAAGCACTCGGCGCTCTCGTATCGACTCTCGGACAACGACGCCAGGGATGTGGACCGTGCTTCCGTGCGTGCGTGGACGACCTGGACCACATAGTCCATACGCGCGGCTGGGCTGGATCCGGGGAGTTCGGGCGAGGCGTTTCTCTGTACTCCGATTCTACGAGATTCCCAGGCAACGGAGACGAGATTCTTCTTATCGAGGGCCTTTGTGACAAAGACGCCTTCAGCCTGGCGCATGAGGATCCCGGTGCAGGTGACAACCACACGATCGCCGTGGGGTACGCGTTGGTTGACGTGTGGCGGTCAGCGGGGAAAGGGGCGGAGGATGGCACCCGGGTGTTCGCGATGAACTGGAACCCGTTCACCTGCATGCGGCGTCGGGTCCGGAGGAACGACGGCGGTGACACCGGCAGAGAAACATGCGACGTCGACGCCCTCGTACACGGTGCAGCCCTCTTGCGCCTGCTCTACCTTGCTGACTTGGCGGCGTGCAACGTTTCTCTGCGGGGGTTGCTCCGAATCACAACAGCGGGCAAGGACGGAGATATCTTCGGGCTGGACGCCCTGGTGCAGGCTCTGCCGGAGGGGGTTCCATCCAGTGCTGCTGCAACCCTGCCGTTCTTCCAGGGTTCACGGCCCCCGCCGACCACGTCGCCGGCGCGGTCCGTGATGGGGTACCTGTCGAGGCGCACACAGCTTGGCGCCCCGCTTCTTTGCGTTTGGCGGCGATCTCCGCCGGCGTTCCGTAGCCGACGTTGTCGTGCGCCCGAAGCGCCGCCATCAGTGTAGTGCTGACCGACCAGGTGAAGTTTCCCTGGGTGAGGTGCCCGGACGCTTGTTGTGCCCCGGCGTACGTGTCGAGGAAGGTCGGACCTCCTCCAGACGCTTCGGCTTCGCAGCCCGTGAAAACTGCGCCCTCGGGCAGGTAGGGCGCGACCAGTCGCTCCAGGTCCTCGAACGTTTGCTTGCCGGCCGCCGCTCCTCTTGCGCTGGCGGCGGAGTCCCACCGCGAGGGAAGACCCAGGCCCTCCGGCTGTACCTTCGCCGCGCGATAGCTGACTTCGCCTCCGCGACCGCGCGAGCTCCACCGGCTCGGTCCGGCGTCGGGCATGGGAGTCCCATCGCAATGGCTTTACGATCGGGCTGCCAGACTCTCTTGGAGTAGCTCGATACACCGCACGAGCTCCGCTGGCGGCATGCCGGTTAGAGGCAGTTTGAGGATCGATTAGAACGCATGCGAAACAATCGCCGACACGATCTTGCTGTTGCGGTTCGTTGTGACCTGATAGACGCCGGGATGCGCGCTCTGCATGGCCATTGCCGTACTGGTCTTCGCGAGGCGCAGACCACCCTCAAAACTCTACAGTCTAGATCTCCCATTTGGGTCACAGTTCGCGCCAAGTCGTTGCTTTTCGTCGCCATATATATAGCCCACGTGGTTGCGCATCCTGCGATGTTATGGCCTTGGCACGAACGGACGTTTGTTCGCTAACCCGGCAGCGGCATCACTAGTTTTTTTCAGTACGAGCAACGGATCGTCGTGCACACGTCGGTTGGTGGTATTGCCTTCCTAACCCTAAGTGAATTGCTCGCGTACAATGCGCCTATTGTGTACGACGACAAGAAACAAGTCGTGGACGGGCCAGACAGCGCGGACGACCGTCGCCGGAGCCGCAGAGAAGGAGGCGGCCGCGGGGCACGCCTTGTCCGCCGCCGAGACTCGAGGGGAGAAGGCGGCGGCTGAGAGGGCGGGAGAGGCTCTGAAAGCGTGGCGGGGTGGAGAACGCCAGAACGCGCCAGGCCGACGGCGGTGAGTTTCGTCGCAGGCGTTGCGCCTCCGTGGTGGTAGGTGCAGTATTTCCAGGGCTTTGTTCGATTGGCGGCCTCCGATGTTGTGGCTGCAGTTCTTGTTGTTGATAATTTGTGTTCGTCGTTGGATCTACATGACACACGAGTTGTGCTACACCTTCGCCCCACATCCTCTCCAAGCAGGCAGAGCAGACCATCCGGAGGGTGCGCCCCTGGCAGGGGAGCGCCGCACGTCGAAGGGCACCCGGAAGGGCATGGCCCAAGGAGGAGCGGTTGTCTACCTATCGATTGTTGCTGCCTTTGTAGGTGGTAATAGATGTTGTTGATGAGGTGGAGACGGGCGGGGTCGTTGTTGTTGTTGGTGTTGTGTCGATGTTGTTGTCGGAGGTGGATTTGTAGTCGCTCGATGTCGTTGGTGTTGGTGGTGGTGCCGTTGGTGCTGCTGCGGCTGCTGTTGGTGCTGCCTTTGGTGATTGGAGTGGTGATGGCTGCTGTTGTTGCTGTTGCCCGCCCCCCTGTGCCCCAACGTTAAAGGTTGGCAGGGATTGCTCGAAACGTCATCAAGTAGGTGTTCCGGTGCGGGGGATTGTTCTTGTCGGTGTCTTTGCTTAGGTCCTACAGTCTGGATCTCGCTTTGGATCACGTTTGGCGCCAACGTTTTGGGGTGCCGCCATCCGGCCTCCGCAGCCCCGCCCCTCCCTGTCCAAACGTTAAAAGTTGGTAGCGATCGCTCGCGGGTGTCATGGAGTAGATGCCGGTGGGGGGATGTATTTTTTACTGCCTTGCCGCATTCCGGAGGGTAAGCAGGCGTTTTCTAACTCTGGTCAAAGTCTCCAACGGTAGCAAAGTCTCCAGCGGTAGCAGCGCACTCCCCCCATCGAAAAACAAATCCGCAAACCCGGAGACACTAACTTCTCGCTACTGCCGACCTCAGGCCCGAAATCTTGGCCCACCCGGCCCACAAGCGCACGGCTGCTGCGGGCAAGACCCCGCTACGCAACAATGTCAACAAGACCGCGGCCGAGCGGGGCTCCTCGAGGTCCACCAAAGAGGGCAAGGCCGACGACGGTGAGGTTGTGTGATGTTTCCCGTTATTGTTGGTGCTCTCGTTGTCGGTAGGTGTTGTTGTCGCTGTCGCTGTCATTTTTCCTTTGTGGTGTAGGTTTAGGTTTTTAGAGGCTTTCGATTGGATGAATTCATGCCTCTCACCCGCGCGAATTAGCTACAAATCGATTGCAGTCTCGCCCACATGGCCTCCACAGCCCCCCCCCCTGTGCCCCAACGTTGGGAAGGGCCTCTTCCCCAGGACAGCAGAACACGGAGGCGACGACTACGGGCGGCGCCGTCTCCCCTGGCCTGCTCCTCACCACTGCGGAGGAGGACGGGCTATTGGCGGACACCACCGCCACCCTCGGCATTCCGGGATTTTGAGCACTTACGGGGGCGTCGTCACCGCGCCAGCGTGGTGAATGCCCGCTGCAGTCGGTGCAGTTGCGGTCGTCTCCGCCGCCTGTAGGTGCCTCGGCGGAAGCTGCCATTGCCGCTGTTGCCGCTCCAGTGCCAGCGCCTGCGGCTGCTGCTGCTGCCACTGCTGCTGCTGCTGCCGCTGCCGCTACCGCTACCTCTACCGCTGCAGCTAATCCGACCGTGTTCGGATTCATGACCAAGAGCGGGTTTTGGAACTCGCTGGATGACGGCGACGGCAGTGGCTTCGAACAGCCTTCCGCGGCGTTCGCCTCCTCGGAAGCAGCCCAGGCCGAAGCTGACGCCAACGCTCGGCGCGTCGAGGACGCGGCCGACGCTCGAGAATTGGCTGCGATCCAAGCCGCCGAAGAAGCTTGCGCCGCTGAGCTAGCGGCTGGCCAAGCGGCCATCGCCGACAATGCCGCGGCAACTGCTTCGCTCGCGAACGAGGCGTCTTCCTTGTCGGCGGCTCAAGACCGCTTGACCATGGTCCAGGCCAGCAACCGTCAGCGCCGGGAGCAGCGTGACAAGGACAAGGCGCGGCGCCAACGGGCCCGTGTTGCTGACCGCCAGAGCTACAGTAGCTACAGTAGCTGGTATGGACGATGCGTTGTCTGTTGTCCACGATCCTGCTGTAGACATTAAACCGTCGATCAAGCTCGAGCACCGTGCCCTCGACGCACTTGTGCCAGTCGATAAAAGTGCTTTACCGCTTTCCTCCACTGTTGCTCATGCTCGCCAAGAAGCTGTTGATGTCGTCCAAGCTGCAACGGATGCCGCTCATATTGCTAGTGTACAACGTGCTTTCATCACCCTCAACCTGGAAAAAGTTGAGCTTGTTGCCACCCTGCCGTTCCCCGTGTCAGTGTTGCCACCCTGCTTGTGCATACCTAAAACTCTGATCAGCTCGGTTAGGTCCGCATTGTCTGACATCTTGATGTGCGATGACCGCAGTCTGGGTGTGACGGATGGTGATTTTGTCCGTGGTTGGGAACAACCCCTCCAGAAGAATCTTTTGGGGCGCGATCACCCATGACAGTCTCCCGACCTCGAACTTTCCATCTCGAACTACTTTCAGCAAGCCGCCAGGAGTCGTTTTTGCGACTTGAGCAGTTCGGTGGATCGACTGGAACTCATTTTCCGGATTATCTGAGGGCTTTCGGTTTGTTGGTTTCGTCAGTTACTGCGTCTGATCGTGTGTTGGCACCACGTGTGTCGATGGTACTCGAGATTGTTCGCAACTCTGTCAGTGAGCCGTTTCCGACTTTGGCTCCGGTGTTGTATCCTGGCGATTTGACTACTACGGTCACGCCTTTTGCCTCGATAGCTGATATGTGGGAGGCGTTCGTGTCTCAGCAACTAAAAAAAAAACGATTGGGGGTGCCAACTATTTTCTCTGTCTTCGACACCCGGCTCTTCGCAGCCTCGGCGTTCACAACCTCAGAACCGTGCGTCAGCGCCTTCGGGCCAGTGGTCGCAAGGTTCTGCCCAGAACCCTGTTGCACTAACAGTAAGTTCTCAGGAGAGCGGTGTGGATCCTTTCACCCGTGATTACAACTTCTGGCCTGCAAAGCTGGGCGACTGGTCGACTGCAAGCCAACTCCGCTCTACCTTTCGCAATGATGACCATTTTTTTGGACCCCTCTTTCGACACAAAGTGCTCACTCGCAAGCGTTCCGAGAGCACCGTAGTCGTTGCCTTTATTGTGGTGGTAACGATCACTCCATGAAAATCTGCCAATTCCGGTTCATCAACTCAAGTGGGTTGTTGAACCCTGAGCTCGGAGGATTGCAAGATTATTCTGAAGCTTTTAGGCGTTGGCAAGGTCGCATGAGGTCCCACCGTCGCAAACAGCAACACGGGTCCCATACTAGTGGTAAGTGCAACTCGCTCCCCACCCCTTCTTAGCGTAGAAATTTGGCACCATCGGGAAATCTGGCACGTTCTTCACAAGACGTACGTGTATCAGGGTTGGCGGAGTCATGCGCTTCTGCCCCGCCCAATATCAGTTCTGTTGCAGCACCTGCTGTTTCTCCTGTTGTCTCTATCAGACAGGCAGGGAACGCACGTGGCCGTGTTGTCCCCCCCTCTACTGGCATTTTATCTGCGACCTCTGCTACGTCGCCTCTTCGGGATGCTCCTTCCTTAGGAATTTACCCACCCAACGGGAGTACTGCCTTGAGGTGCGGGAACAGAGCGACAAGACGGGTAGGGCCACTGAGATTATCTCGACAGCTCCCCCGACCGTCTGGAGGTCAGGCAGGCATGCGCCAAACTTTTCCAATGATCTACGAGAATTCGTCGTGTGGTCAACTCACATGAAGTTTCTGGTTCGTCTGATTCGCCTGGGCTCGCCCCCGCCGTTGGTTCGCCAGCCGCAAAGGCACCGGTAGCGGTTTCGTCAGGTCATGACCGACGATTATCGCATCCCAGGGCTAACACAACCCCATGTTTACCAACGAATGGTCCTGCAGCGGTACGTAATATAGGGCATACCCTGCCAGCGACGTTGAGAGTGCTGACAACACCGTCTCTTGAGGACCCTCGAGAAGCGACCGCCGTTAATGCGGCGTACTCGCGTTCTACATCAAGAGGGATACCGCAGTTCTCGCCTTTGGGCGGTGGGTTCGACTCCCACTTCACCATCGGAACGGGGTACCATGTTCGAAGTTAGTATTCTTCACATCAACGTATTTCGAGGACTTCTGAGCCGTCCTCTCATCGTTTTGCGTCTTTTGCGGAGTACGCCCCCCATGTTCCTTCTGATCATGACATTTGCGTTTGGGCTGTGTCTCCTGGCGAGGATCGCTCTCGTTCCGCTTCGACCCGAACAAAGTCCTAGTTTATTTGGTGATATTACCGTTGATGACAACTCCTTCATTGCCAAAATCCTTACTCGCAGTGGTTCAATCTCTGCTCAGTTTGGATGTGGCTTTGTTGGATACTGCCTCCCCGCAACCGTTCATCAGATCCCGTACTTGGGAATCCATGAAATCTGCTGGTGCAGCTTTGTCTTTATTTGAAACACGCACAGCACCTCGGTGTCGGGGCGGGTTTGATGAATCTCCCCCCCTTCAGACGTCGATTTCGGTCCGTTTGAGAGTACAGTTTGTTCGACGAAACTTGCCAATTGCGTCTCTTGCCGTATGGGCGTGCGTTGTCCCTGATGGCGTTATGCATCATGACGTATTGCTCGGCAGAGATAGCTGGATGCGGTTAAGCGACCGCTCTTACCGCACTTTGGCCTCCAAGAGACCTGGAGGCAGTGTTTTCGGTGAGCTCACTTTGGCCCACCACAACAACAGTGGCGCCGGGCATTTGATCGCGATGTCTCCGCGTCCGCGGGGAACTACCAGCTAAGTTACGCTGGAAAACACATCATTCCATTGTTGCCTGAGCATCAACGGGTGCAAGCTGATATGGTACCTAGCGATGGTTCCCCTGCCGTGGTGGGTATTTACATGGTGGATATGCTCCGTCAAATGTTTATGTTTTCGTCTGAAGAAAATTTCGTCACGCATGGCCGTCAACGTGTCCCGTTGGCGGGTGTTTCGAGTTTGGAACCCGGAGATGTTTTGGGTACCGCTTCTGCCCCCCTCCTTCAAGTACCTTTGAGCGCTTTCCCGCACGGCGATTTGAGCGACGGTCTTCCAAACGCCGCTGTTCCGCCCGATACCGCTTCTGATGCTTCCAGCTCCGCTGATTGCGTCCCTGGTCCTGTTTTGCCCGACGGTGCCCCTCGTTCGGCTGTGTCTCCAATGATCGACCCGTTTGTGTACGACCTGCATGAACGCTCTGCCAAATCGGCACATGGGACGTGTGGTGACGGGTCTCCCGACAAAGCCTTGCTTCATCTCCGTAGGCCCTTTTGGACCGCTTGACGTCGGAACAACGTGCCAGTTTTTCCCTCGTGTGGGATAAGCTTCCTGCTCATTTGCGAGAGATCACGTTCAAATTACACGGTCCTGGTTGGACGCCTGAAGTTATCACCAAGTCGGGTAATGCTTTGTGCGAATACCACGATGTGTTTTCCCGGTCTTCCACGGATTTCGGCTCATGCTCGCTGTTCCGTTCAAGTTGACCGTTCCGCCTGGCAGTGAGCCAGCCACCTCTCGCCCATACCGAGTTAACCCTCTAGTGGCGAGTCAAGTGGACGCTATTCTCGACCAATATCTTGCTGCGGGTATTATCCAACACTCTACGTCTCCGTATTCGAGTCCCTTGGTTGTCATCCCGAAAAAAGTTGGTGGCGTGCGTGTCACTGTCAATTATCGTAAGTTGAATAAGCTTTGTGCGCTTAGCCAGCTTCCGATACCCAGAGTTGATGCTCTGGACAAGGTGTTGAACGGAAGATTTATTCTCTCTTCGATATGAAGTCTTCGTTCCATCAAATCACGGTACATCGGGATACCATCCCGCTCACCGCGTTCGTTACGTCTCCTGGGCTTTTTGAGTGGTTGAAAATGCCCCAAGGTATGTAGTTCTGCCGCCCCTGGGTGGTTCTGTAAGGTCGTCAACGAAGTCATCAAACACCTTCGCGGTGTCGCTTCCTACCTGGACGATTCGATTGTTTTTGATGAGATCCCAGCTGCTCATGTAGCAAACATTCGAAAGATTTTGTTAGCACAATTTGAAATTGACACCTCCCAAAGCCACTATTGGCGCCACGGAAGCGGAATTTCTTGGGCATACCATCTCTTCAGACAGAGTCAGGCCAAATGGTGACAAAGTTGCTGCGCTCACCAAAATTCCTACGCCCAAAGACGCCAAGCAGCTTCGCGCTCTCCTTGGTGGTCTGAGCTGTTACCGGAAGTTCCTTCCAAAAATGGCTAAGCGTGTCCGCCCTCTAACCACCCTTCTTAAGAAGAACGTGCGGTTTGAGTTCACGGATACCATGGAATCCGCCGTTCGGCAACTCCTCGCCGAAGCAGCAACTCCGCCAGTGTTGGTGTATCCAGACTGGGATGCCGTCTCTGACGGTCGCGGCCCTTTCGCCTCTATTGTGACGCGAGCTGCGGTGGGTTTGGTGGCACTCTTGAACAAGAGCAACCTGATGGTTCTATTCGGCCTATCGCTTTTGTTACAGAACGGGCCCGGAGATAAGAAACGTGAAAATCGGGTCGAGCCTCAATTGCTTATTTTGGGCAGAAGGAGCAGCCGAAGTCGACCCAATTTCTTAAAACGGATTTCTTATTCCTTTGGCCTGTCGCATCCTGCTCGTCTCTTGTTTCCTTATTTTCTTTTTTCTGGCGAAGACAACAACACACACCAGTACAGCAGCAGTGGCTGGTGGGTGTAGCGCAGCCCGCGGGGGCGCGGGGGCGCGGGGGCGCGGGGGCCGCCGCGAACATACCCTTCCCCCCCCCTTACCAACAAATATTTCATGAGCTACGTAGGGGTCGGGAGCATGACAACAGCAGCATCATCAGTGGAACGTTTCTTATTGAACGCGCTCCCCCCCCCCAGCAACCCCTCTTGTTTCTTATATCTGGGGGGTATCGCACGATCATGTTTCTTATGGGAACATTTCTTATGTTGTGGCCGAGATTGAGCTGAGTTTGTCAGGCCTGTTTTCTTGTTTGTCGTTAAAGTTGAGCCAATTTTTCGAATCATACATTTTTTAATTGCGGGCCCGTTCTGTAGTCGAGCGACTTTGGAGTCTGAGCGCGATTGGACTCCTCTCGACCTTCAAGCTGGCAGCATCATTTGGTGCATTAAGCGTCTTCGTGGCTATCTCTGGGGTGCCCACTTCAAGATTTTCACCGACCACAAGTCTCTCGAGCGTTTGGTGAAAGTTGGTGAGAACAACGCCCGCGTACAACGTCGGCTGGAGTTTCTTACCCCGTATGCATGCACTCTTGAGTACCGCAAAAGTTCACCGAATGGTAACGCCGACTTGATTTCTCGCTTGCCGATGGAGGCTACCGAGCGTGACCGTTCTGGACGCAGTCGTTTGAGCCCAACGGCCGACGATGAGGCTATCTATTTCATCCGTTCTTGTGGTCTTGTGCCTTCTGGCGCTCCGGCGGGTGTTGGCTTGGGTGGGCTCCTTCCGTCTGTTCCGAGCTCTGTCTTGGGTGGGCTACGGCCTTCTACCGCTAACTTTGCTGACTTTCGGGGCCATGGTCCGCGTGTGGGATTCACTGCCCCTGAAGCTCCTTCCGGGTTTAGCTTGGTGCTGGACTTGCCGCCAACCGTCATTGTTGCCTTGGGTTTTGCGGTTGCTCGCAATTGTCCTTCCTTGGTTGCGTCCAACCAACCTGTTCTCCTTCCTGCTCGAGTTTTCCCGTGGAAGATGGGGGCGACACCGTTCGTATCCCCTCTCGTGGCGTCTCGCGCCCACGCTCACTTGATCCCACCGAAGTGATTTCAACACGAACTCGTGGGCGAACGGCCGCTGCTCCTGGTGTTCCTCGCCCCGATGTTGATTATGGTTTTTCGGACCCTGAGGAATCTCCGGTGACCACCCCCTGTGGCTGTCGCACCTCATGCAGCTCGGTCGTCGGATCACCGACCGATCGATTGCGTAATTTCGACGCCTTCGGGCCCGGCTTCGCCAGCCACCCCTCGCGTGAGTACGTTGACATCGGCGCCCACGTCAGAGTCATTGCTTGGTTCTTCGCCTGTCCCACCGGCTGTTGAGGATGTTGCGCCTTAGTGCGCTGAACTCGACTTCCGCGAATCTGTCGCGAGATTTTCTCATTCAGATTGGGCACGAGAACAACGCAGCAACCCGGTGTGTGATGCCACCATCCGTTATCTTCAACTCGGCCAGCCTTCGGCTTTGCCGCTGGATTCTCTTGATCACATTCCGTTACGCCGTCAACCGTTGCTCTCGGACATCCGCGAATCGGCTGTCAAAGGTGGTTTGCATGTCGATGACGATGGCTTGGTTCTCCTCGTACGGAAACCTACCAAAACTCCGTCCGCTTCGTCCACACGCCCTGGCGGGCGTGCGGCGGGTCTTCCGAATGATGAACCTGTTCGGGTTTATGTTCACATATTGATGCGCCCGTGGATTATGCAGCTATGCCATGCCGATGCATCATGTCACTTTGGTGCTGCTCGCACATTGTGTATGTTGGAGTGTTATAGTTATGGGTGGGCATGGGCGCTTCAACTAAAAGGTGGATCCGCCATTGCCTGCGCTGTCAAGCCCCCGAAACGTCTCGGCACACGGCGCGGTGGCCAATTTTGACATTCCGTTGCCATCCGGACCTGGCATCTCCGTGAGTGTCGATTATTTCGGCCCTCCACCGACCACCCCTCGGGGTAACGCCTATATTCTGCTCTTCACCGACCGTTTCAGTCGACGTGCTGACATGTACGCCGTCACGGCCGCTGACTTTGCTGCCGAAGGCACTGCAGATATATTGGTAAATCGGTACGTCCCTTTGTGGGGCTGCCCCTCGAGCCTCTTGTCTGACAATGGCACGCAGTTCTGTTCCAAACTGTCGCGCGCTGTCTATAAGCTTCTCGGGGTACGCAAAGTGGCGACTAGCGCTTACCACCCCAACGGTAATGGCGGTGTAGAGCGCGTCAACCACACTATGGCACAAATGCTTGCCATAGCAGGCAACGAACGGTAAGACTACCGGGATGCCCATCTCCCTCACGTGGAGTTTGCGTATAACAACTCTGTCAGCACCGCCACCGGTTTAGCGCCGAATGAAGTGCGCATGAACCGTTATCGAGCATCCTTATGCTCCGGGTCATCATCGTTTAGATCGTGATCACCTCGAATATTGCGATCCTGCTGCCGATTGCCAACGTCGTGCTTATGCGCTGGTGCGGGCACAGCACACCTTGTCTGTTTCACGCATTGAGCCTCGCAATTCCGCTCTTTCGGATGCTTTGCACAAGCTTCCAACCTACACTGTCGGTGGTTGGGTTCGGGTGTATAACTCCGAATCCACCATTCGCTCAGGTGTTCAGGCGGGTACTGATGATAAGGTACTAAAAGCGAAACTTTCTTTGCTATGGACTGGTCCGTTCAAGATTTTGGCTGTTGGTCCCTGCCTGAAGGCTCCTGATCGCAGTCCTGTGCCAGCCAAGTTGCTGTTCTTGGACCTTCCGTCGGACCTGCCAGGCACAGACTCGAAGCGTCGTGTTTCGGTCTCATCGCAATAGGTACAGTAATTCTGCGACTTAATGGCGTACTACCGTCGTCACAAGAGGTGGTAGCCTTGGAGAAACTTACTTGCGACGTTGTCGGGTTGCAATCTGACGTAAAATGGATCGATCGGCTGATGACCATGCTGGCGACTTTCGTCGGCCTCGGTTGCCTCGGTCCAATGTATGTAGTCTAATGTTTAAGAGAATAATGGTACGTCCCTCTACGTTCAGAAAAGTTCCACATCATCATACATACGTACGTGTTGCGCTTCAGACATGCCAAATGCAACAGCAACAACGAGCCTGCCACATGCGCATGGACTAGAGAGGTCTTTCTGCACTCGAGCAAGGAGATGCTCGTCTGGCTGTTGATGCGTCTCGCCATCGCATTTCGGGGAAAAGTTTTTGACGACACTGCCTTCCTTCCGTTCTTACTGGTAGACTCGTTTCATGGAAGTATACAGAGACGGACCACTGCCGTACACAACAAACATCGCATCTCGTTGTCCATGCCCACAGATCGATCGTTTCGTGCGCGCTAACAAGGTGTTCTCCTCCGTGTCCAGGGGACCCCTGCTGCGGCGCGGTTGTGAGTCGCTGTGCAATTCGGTCCTTTCGCGACCCTGCGGCAGGACCCTTTTTCATTCGTCACGAAACAGTCGAACATGTAAAATTTCAGTTCCTTCCCTCCTGTTCTTTGACTACCGAGGAGGACCACGTTGCTGTACACATCAAACACCGCATCTTGTTGTCTATGCCCACAGATCAACCGCTTTCTGCGCATTGACAAGCAAGGTTCATTCCCCCTTATCCAGTGAATCGCTGTTGTGTCGCGGCGCGGTTCTGCGTCGCTATGCAACTTGATCTTCTTTGCGACCCTGGACCGGGACAATTTTACTTTCATCACTCAGAACAACCAAACACCGTCATCCTGCGACTGTACTTTTTTCGCCACCACCTGTATACTTCGCTGGTCTTTGCACCTGGCTGGTGTTGGCGTCAACGCCAAGCGTCGACAACGTCGTCTTGAAAAATGTAGGGAGTATATATCGAGCTGCAAGAATGCAGCACATCACCCGGACCACATCTGTTCTGCGCTAGATAATCTAATTCACAAAATGACTATTATAGACTTCCCTCGCGGTCTGGCCGCCCGCCCCATCGGGGGGGCGGGGGCCAATCGTTCGCCAAGTCTACATGCAGGCTAGACTATTGTTGCAGTCTAGACACTGCGACTGTAGACTAGACAGTAAGAAGAGTTGCCTGCTTTGTGAGATGTTCCGTGCTCGATGTAGGGTTCTCACGCGCTTTATTCCTAGGTAGACGTGAATTTTGGAACATGTCATACCAGTACCTTTTATTGTAGAAATTGTTGTGGCCAGTCTTGTGTTCACTGCTCACGTACACTGTAGTCCATTTCACCACGAAGGGGCTATACTATCTTACTATACAAGGATTCGACAACGCCATACTTACGCGACGGGTTCAACGACGATGATGTTGCGCGATCGTGCGTTTCTACTGCGTAGTCTACATGTTTTTAGTCCCCTGGGTGACCTTTCCCCTCATGTGATGGCGAAAAACAAACACGTCCACACCACGTGGGAACAGTTCGTCAGAAGTGGCGACCGTATGCATGCCGCACGGTGACCTTACGACTCGCACGAACGTGACATGTTTCATTGAGCAAGACCCAGCAACAGAGGTTCCATATGCATGCGGTGGATCATTCCAGTGATAATGCGAGGGAAAGGTGGTGGTGGTGTCCTGTTACGGCACGGAGAACCAACAATAATGCAGTAGATGTTCCCGGATATCTGTCGAGCTAAATGCTGCTGTAAGAACCGTTGCAAGAACTGTTTTTTTAGGTGGACGTGGTACACCCTTCACGGCGTTGCTACGGCACCACTGTACTGCACCCCAACACAGCATTGGGCCGTATACATCAGCAGCATCCGCCGCCTACTTGTAAACAAACTCTTTGCTTTCCCCCCGACGGGATCGATCCCATATGCATATGATCCCACATGCATATCTTATGATAGGTGACAACGTGGGTTTTCAAATGCGTATCATTGGACGACCGCCACAGCGCTGGGTCATCCACCTCTTTCTCAAAAATCAAGTGATCATAAACCCTATTAACCCTACTGAGTCAAACATTGAGCGGCTAGACATCTACAGTCGTCTAGGCTTGACAGTAAATTGCCCTGGGGCGCGCGGCCAGGTATCATGCACGTATCTGTAACGCTTGGGATCTTGCGGTACGAACATTTGATGGGAATATCATCCCCTCTGGCATTGAACACACCGACAGCTATCAAATTTCCAACCAAAAATATTCCACATTAATATGAACGCCGTTAGAAAAGGCAAACAATCTCCTTCATCGCACTTCACCAATCAGCACGGGTATTTGCCGCAAACTCTTCTACGGATTGCAGTCATTACGCGAACGACCGTCGTGCCTCTACGCAGTTTCCCCTCTCTTCAACCAATCGCGACATCACAAAATCTGGAATTGGTGTAGCGCTATGTACTTGAATACCAAAACAACAATTGACTGTTATTATGTTGCGGTTCAAGCTTAGTTTCCTAATGTTCAATTCGACTACATTAACTGGCGTAGCGTTTATGCATACTCGTCCTTCGCCATGCGCCCTAAATCTCCAGCTTTACATACATCGACGCCCGCTGGCGATACTATGTATGCCACCAATCGCCGCGTGCTTCACAACGCTACCAGAATGCGGGAAGTGACTATCCGCCGTGGCATCCTAGGTTCAATCCAGCGCACGACGACGCACCTGAGTCCAGTGTACAACAAGCCCAAATTCGGTCCTCTTGGCATTCAGGTTCAACACGCGGGTTCGGCGGCGTGAAAAAGAAATGCTTTATGTGTACTTTTTCCCTGGCGGGTACAACTTGTATGTTGGGCGTAGCACAAAACACATATTTGCCCCTCGTCCATACGTGCATACCACCGAAAGCTACAAACGACGACGACACGACAAGACGTCTAAAAATGAACCACGGCAGATGTCGGCAACGAAAGACGAAAATGCGCGCAGGCATACCTATCTGCACTCAAGCGAGTGAAACGCAACAGGTCTAGGCTGCCATAGATATCTTGCTAGCACTCGCAGATTTCGCCATCGTCTCTGCGACGAAGGCAAACGAACACCCGCCGACCTATTCCTACTCCACCGTCCGACTTACGGTCTTCACTGTACAAATGAACATTAAAACCCGAACCAACATCGAAGGGGATAAGCCGCAAGAGAGCAGCGGAGGAAGAAAAATAAATGCAAGTGACACCCAAACGTAGTTTTAGACCCGTACACCGCCGAGACTAAAATGCAAGTGAAGAAAGAGGACGAGCAAGACAGATACATCCACCCGGGATCACAAACAAGAACTCCAGAGGAACACCGCCACCGAAAAATTGACGCCAAATGGATGGACGTGACCAACGCCCGGTCCGCGCATGCATCTGATCAAGCGACGATACAAAAGCGGGGCGGCGCACACCCACGTCGATACCCCCCCTTCCCACTTGCTTGTCGTCACCGACAAGTGAACGAAAGCGAAAACGACACATGCACCCTACTACGAAATGATCAACAGCAATCAGGGACGACGACGACTTGGTGAGCATGAACCCAGGCTCCGACAAAGGGTTCGCTCGGACAACCAGCAACTGGCCCGCGACACACGGGAATCAAACAGCAACACAACAGACGTCAACAAGGGCCGAGTCACAATACGCGGCCCAGAGAAATATGCAAGCCGAGATCCGTCGCCGGTCATCAAGCATCCAAGTTGTACCCCGAACGATTCGAGTTCCGACCTTGGTATTATGTTGGCCGTACGCTAAACGGGCGTCCCTTGAGTTAACCATCTTGCGATTCGCAGGATACCCTGTTACAGGCAGGTAGTCTAACCAAACAACAAACCAATATGTTGATATCTTAGTACACACAGCCGAGAACACACACAGCACATGTGCACAGAGCAACTCGGAGGTCGTCGACAGGGTGACGCGCCGAGGGAACCGTCACCGAACCCCCAACACACACGGCGCCACCACGCCAGCACTCGAACGTCCCAAGCCCGTCCTCTTCCGTGCTACCTCATTCCCAAGGGCAAGTAACGCCTACAGCACTAAAATTCCCCAGGATTCATTGCCACCGGCCTCCAGACGCTACCTTACCGCCTGTCCCCCTCATCGACGCCGCCACCACAAGCGACGCGCACGGCCAAATTCTCATGGCCCCGAGGCAATGCGCACACCACCCCCCGCGCCAAGACCTCCTGCTACCCCCGCGAAGAGCACCCGAGCCGCTGCTCGCCTAGAACGGATTCTCCACGCTGGCCCGGCGCCTCCTCTGCCTCGCCGCCGTCGCCACCGCCCCCACACCGCTCGCAAAGGCGGCGCCGTCGCTACCGGCACAGCCGATGCTCCCGACCGATCCCGCGGACCGACGCCGGTGTTTGTTCGCCTTCGCTGCCTTAGCCTGCTGCTGCTGCTGCTGCTGCTGCTGCTGCTGCTGCTGCTGCTGTTGCTGGGCTGTACCGGTAGCGGCGAAGCTCCTCTCCGTGCTCACCGCGCGCTGCCTCTGGAGGTGCTGCAGCTGCTCCAGCTTCTTGAGCTTCTGCTGCTGGAGGAGCTGCTGGTCTTCCTCCTCGGCCGTCGCGGCAGACGGCGACGGCGCCTGGTGGGCAGCGGCGGCGCTGTTGTCGTCTTGCGCGGCGAAGAACCACGGCTCGTCGAATCCCTCCCGATCTTCGGAGGCCCCCCGAGAGGGTTCTCCGCACGACGCCGCGTCTCCGTTGCCGCCGCCGCCCCCGCCGCCGCCGCCGGCCGTCGCGGCCGCAGCGGCGGCGGCCTTGCCGCCGTGCTCCAGCATGATCGCCCGAACGCGGCGCCGGACGCCTCGGTCCTCCCGTTCCACCGCCTTCCGCTGATCGGCAAGCGCCCGGTCCTTCAACTGTCGTACAATCAAAACAGACCAAAAACAAACAAACAATGAAGAGGACGGACGCGGGGGCAGCCGAGGAGAGGTTCGCCCTCATTGTTATCATGGTCAACAGCCGTGGGCAAAACGTCCTCCACCCGGACGTTTGCTGTTACTCGCGTGGATCCACAATTCTCAGGCCACACAAATCCCACAGCAATCACAACGGGCTCCGGAGAAGTCTGCAAGTATGGTGCGTATGGTCTAGGCCTAGAAAGTTTTGTGGTGATCCGACCATCACCGAGGGAGAGCGCTGCGGTGATGTGATGCGAGGTCGGGTTTCTTGTTATTCTGGTTGGGGGCGGGGTATACCTACCGGAATAAAAAAAAAAGTTGGTGTACCAATTCTGGTTGACCACAAGAATCCGTCTTGTCGGAATTTGGTCTACTCACCATTTAGGAGTATTATATGCATACTTGACATAGTGAATAGTATACTGGAGTAGGGTATGGGGAGACCGTGGAGGGAAGAAGAAATATTTTTGTACCCCCATTGGTCCAGGGGAAGAAAATTTACTAGGGGTGGCACGTAGCACGCACTCTCCTACTCGTGAGGGCCGCATCGATGATGAAAGAGATGAAAGATGAACTACGCTGCAGACGACCGAGGAAAAAAAAACGTTCAGTATGGTACACACTACGGGTACATATGACAGGTCGCGGTGGCAGAAAAGAAAAAATATGCGAACGGAGGCCCGGTAGCCCGCCCTCCCGGAATTTCAATGAAACAAGAATATCCCCCGAAAAACAGTTGGGGACGCGCAAATACGACAGCAGTACAACACGTCCGCGTAAGCGCCTCCTCGAAACGAGTTCCGATGAGAGAAGCATAGTTTTCATCCAGAAAGGAATACGTTTCTGAAGGGGATGCAGGCGTACCGTCCTGTTCACCGCTCCTCCATTTAGAGAGGCGGCGTTCCCATGATATGCAAAATATGTTTCAAAAATTGATTGAGTGCATGTTCACCGCGCGTCCAGTGAGAGAAACGACGTTCCCATCATAGACACACAATCGTAAAGTACGTTCTCCTGCATCGCTGTTCACCACACTGTACCGCACCTCGCTTTCGGCCTGAGCGTAAGCCTTCTCTAGGTTGTCCATCCTTGTCGAAACCTCTTCGTACATGATGGACAACTGCTCCAGCTTCCCGCGAAGGTTATCCTGCGTTGTTTTGGTCGTTCATCATCAAAGGATTACTGTGGGTCGCCGGGGTCGCTCAGCTGTTGAGAGGGCGTAGGATGAGAACAATCAACAGCAGCAGCGGCAGCAGCAGCAGTAGCCGTCTATTTTTGGGTGGAGGAATGATGACTCTACTTTAGCACTAAAAAAAAAAAAAAAACGGATGTGTTACCATCTTCAAGGTTCACGCTGCACGCAGCAGGAAGAAACAACACAAGGTCCGACATCGGAAAATACACAATATGGTCATAAATATGGATATCGATGCGTTCCTATCGCTACAAGTACCAGGGTCTGTTCGAAACCCTGTTAAGCAGCTTGATTAAGGTGTCTCGACATAAAAGCAAAAAAAGATAATGCATACCTTCACTGCTGCAACCCCGCTGACCCGCTCGTCCCGCTCCGCAGCGAGCGCCTTGCACGAACGCTCCACCTCCAGGTTAATCCTGGCCTCCCGCTGTACCAGCCTCATCGCGGCTTCCTCTGAACGAATCATTTGCGAAGAGCACATCAAACACACACAATGGGGGTGGGGGGGGGGGCAGACGGCGACACCCCGGTGACTATCTCGGCAGTCGACCGGCTTAGGCTCAAGGACATCTCAAACAACTTGGCAGTGTATTGTAGAAGCTTATGCTCAACAGATCGTGAAACAATAGTAGAGAAGCTTGAGCTCCACATGCATCTGGAAGACGGCCTGCCTGCCCCCAGGCGGGCGGGTTGCTCCTACCTTGCAGCTGCTGCTCCACCTTCACCAGGTACACCTCCAGACGACGGCTCTGCACAGCCGACATCTCCAGCTGCACGCGGCAGCCATCACCAGCACGAACGCGCGGGAGGTTGGTTGCCAGTTGGCGTGTATCGTCGCGAGGGCAATAATAACCGGGTGTTCGAGGGGTGGGAGCAATCGACAACCCCAAGCACAAACCCAATCCTCGTCAGCACGCGAGTGCCATGCAAACGAAAGAAGCAGAGACGCGGCAGAGAAGCTTCCATCTGACGCTTCGAAACGAAAAAATACATAAAGAAAACTCTAGTTCGCGTTCCGTGATCCAGAGGTACAGCCAGCTCCTCGCGTCCTCATGGTAGGGTCGGGGCCGAAGCCGGCCAGCAGCGACGGTTTGATCGCAAATCCGTCGCATGCACGGTCCGACATGGGAGCAGGGTGGTAGTACGGTCGTTTTTCGAGCAAGCAGTTGGCACTGGCGGCCGTTTCACGCCGAGACCGAGGCACCGAACCACCGCGTGAGCCCCGAAACAAACTACCAGGACATCGAACAAACTAACTCCTAATTTTCCTGGCCGTTACCAGGCCACCCCACCGCAACAGACGGCCACCCCACCACAACAGACGGTCACCCCACCAGAACAGACGGTCACCCCACCACAACAGACGGCCACCCCACCACAACAGACGGCCACCCCACCACAACAGACGGTCATTTCACTTTAAGGAGATTCGTCAAGAGCAGTTAAGTGAGCCACGGCGCTGCCCCGCGCGAGAGTCTGAACCATGCGCACTCAACGTCAAGTGATGTTGAACACACCCCACGCGGTTTACGAACAGGAGCATCTACCCCTTTGGTCCGCGTCAAAACCAACGGCATGGCTCCCGGCTTCACGAAAAACCGGCGCGTAGATGACGACGCACGGCAGACGACACCCGCAATCACTCGCTTTCAAGAGAGCGGGTTGATTGACTCTGCTGGGCCACAATTTCGATATTAGAACAGCGGTGAAGAAAATATCTCGTCCAGATAGAGCTTCTCGAGATAAACATCGTACATACCAGCAACCTCTGCATCGCCCATGCTACAGTACGACCTTCCACACATGAAACCACGGGGTGGCAGCCTCCTGAGCAACAAACGGGGCGGACACCTACCTCGAGCTTGCTAGCCTTTTCCTGAAGCCGCCGCTCCTCCTCCTCGATCTCGCCCATGCCAACCACGCCGACCCCGGCCCCCGCTTCAGTGCCGCCACCTTCAGCTCCAGCCGTCTCCGCCGCTGTTGCCGCCACCTCGCTGTTAGAGGCGCTCCCTCGCCGGTGGTGCGATGCCGGTGCCGACACCGCCGCCGTTGATGACACCAGCGGCCCGCCGCTTATGGCCGACGCCGGCGAGGACACCGGCTGTTGCTGCTGCTGCTGCTGCTGCTGCTGCTGCTGCTGACGGCCCACTACGCGAGCAGACCGCAGAAGCTTACTAGCGATGCTGCTCCCGTTGGCCGGGGCCGCCTGATTGGAGGTTGAACAGACAGAATTAGCGCATGTTTTCAGCGTTAAGTGTAGAGATAATGATCTATTCAAGCGTCGCATTTGTGTCGAAAGTTGGTGGGAGGTTTCCTCTTGTTGAAGAAGCGAAGGATTCGCCGTTGAACAAAAAAAAACAAATGGTTTGCCGCTGCCCCTGTTGCGTCGTCGTTGGGCAACGGACACGCACGGGCAAGTTGGCACGCTGCGCGAAGTCCTTGAGAAGAGAGAGGTTGGCCCGAGGGAGGGTGTTTGTGTACAGGTAAGGGGTTGCTGTACACGACGGAGAGAGCCAGTGAAGCCAAACGCAATACCAACAATAATCTTTCAAGTAAGAAATATCTGTCAGTTGGGCCGAAGTCGGCGGTAGTGGAGTATTTCGACTTCGGCGCAACTTGTCGCTTGCGGCCTTCCCCATTTACCAACGACTGCTGCGCCATACAGCAGTACTGTGTTTGGTTTCCTTCCAAGCGTGCGTCTGCCTGGGGCCAGGACGTCGGCGGCAACAAACCGTGTACGACATAAGAAATCCCACCCCTGGATAACATGTTGGCGTTGAAAAATATTATCACCGGATGTTGTGTTCTGTGGGGGGGGGGGGGGATATCTTATGTAGCCCGGGTGATAGAGTGCGACCGTTGGAGCCTTGAAGAGGGGGTGATATCCAGGGAGTGTCATACCCCGCCACACACTTGCAGGGGCCGAAAAGGGGTGTGATACCCAGAGGGTGTGATACCACTGCCGCACACTAGGGGCCGAAGAGGTGTGATAGCGCCTACAAACAACTACCTACCGTGTGCTACGGGGCATTGGTACGTGTGCTACGGGGGACGAGTGATAACCGGGGGCGTGATACACCTCTTGATCACATGATCCCGGCGATGAACGCCAACAGCGCCCTCATCAACCACAGCGAATGTGTTGCCATGCAACAACAAAAAAACTAAAATGATATTATCACGACCGCCTGGCACCATAGAGAATATGCCAAGAAGGCGGGGAAGAAAAAAGGCTAAGTTGCATGCATTTAAGAACCCTCGATCAACGCGCTGCGAGGGTGGAAGCTTCCATTCATCCCCCCCCCCCCGCCAGGTCTAACCGCCAAGTAAGGACGAACGACAGCATCGCTGGGCTTCTGCCCCCCTCGTCCTCGCCGGAGGCTTGATTGGTGTGCATGGACTCTTCTGCATCATCAGCACCTTCGCGTGCTGCTGAGAGTAACTCACCAGCAGGCTGCTGAGCCAGCGTGGTGGCTGCCCCATTGGCGCTCGATACTGTGTCAGCTTGTCAGCCGCAGCTACAGAAGCAGCGGCAGGAGAGAGAGGAACCGCAGGTGTAGAACTTTGCTCGCGTTGACGGAAGAACGAGTCTACGATCGGGCGAACCATTGCCGCGTTCGAAGCAGCTGCCGAACGAGCAGATATAGCAGCAGTGGGATTCTGCTCTCCCTACACGTTCATGTCATTGGAGGTCTCCATCCGGGGCGGTTGCCCCGTACCCAGAGGGTGTGTTGGGTGTGTTCCCTGCTGAGCATCCTGTGGCTGAGCAGCGACCACTGGTGCTTGTTCATCACCGGGGTGATATTCGTGGGGGCTCCGTGATTACATGCGGCCTAACCTCAGGGGGGGGGAGTTGTCATGTAACCCGGGTGTGGTATTCTGTGGGGGGTGTCTTATCTTATGTGGGTGTGATACCTTGTGTCGTACACGGGTATGGCAAGACATGAGCCTCTCCTGTCCTTCGCGGGTGTGAGCATGAAAGGGGGTCAACTCGATGAAACTTCAATCCCTCAACAAAATACTTCAGGCTGCGAGATGCAATCGCACTCTGGCGCTTCGCCTCGGCAAAGGTCGTGCCTATAAAGCCTCGCCAGTTGTGGGAATACAATGGAGGAGACGAAAAAACAACGTGGAAAATAGGATAGAGAAGGCACAAATACAGACGTGCGCATGAAAACTGTACACGCCGACATCCGCGCGACTTCCGGACTTAAAAAAAAGGCACCGTACTTACAAAGTCAAGAAGCGCACAGGTGTGCAATGCCCCACACGTGCGACTAGTTGTAGTGGTTCTGCTGTTGTACCTCTTTCCAGGGCGGCCGCGTTCGGTCACCAAATACAGCCGGTACTACTGGCTGACGACGCGGCCATCATCTCGCGCTCGCCGCAAAGTCTCGAGAAGGCGATGTCGGTCATCGTGCGCGTGGCCGGCCTGTTCGGACTGATGGTGTTGGAGCCAAAGCCGGAGATCATGTGCATGCTGCCGAAAGGGACGGAGGAACGACCGTTCACGGTCAGCGCCGCCGGCCAGACGTAAGCAGACGGATCGGTCATCTCCGCGGACGGGAAGGCCGACCGAAAGATCACGAGCCGCAGCTGCCGAGCGTGGAAATGCTACCGCCGGAACAGTGCTTCGATGTACGACAGGCGACGGGCCAACCGCCGGCTCAAGATCCGGCTACTCCAGGCTGAAGTGGTGGAGACTTTCCTGTATGGGTGTGCCTCGTGGAGCCTAACAGCGGAGCACTACACGAAGCTCAATGGGACCCGCCGCCAGTTCCTTACACGGTGCATCGGCTGGAGCAAGCGGAAACGCTCAGACCGCCCCCTGTCCTACGCCCAGGCCCTCATCCAGGCAGGCTGCGAGGAAACCATCGAGGCCACCGTGCGCAAACGGAGACTGTGTTTCGCGGGCTTTGTTATGCGCATGGAGGACAGCCGCCTCCCCAAGCGCATGCTGTAACGAGCGATGGCGGGGGGCGGGGGATACCGGAGCGGGCAGGAGAGCGACTGGGTTTCTCGTCTAGGAGAGGACCTCGTGGCCTTCAACATGGGAGACGAAAAGGAAGGGGGTAAATGGAAAGAGAGCGCCAAGGACGCGGAGGTGTGGTACAACAAGGTCGAGGACGGGGCGGCATGGTTCATGAGGAAATGGCACAAGCAGGAGGCGGAAGCGTCCGCGAAGCGCCAGCGCGCGAGGGAAGCAGAAGCAGAGAGTACGGCCNTACGTCTGGCTGTCTGCCCATCTGCCGCCTCTTTGTCCTGTTTGCTCCGTTACTCCCATGCCCTGGTGCGTAGTGCCTGGTGCTGGTACGTTTTGGGCGGGTGTGGAAAGCGTCCTCCTATTTTTGTCTTTGTTTTATTTTGATCGGTTTCCGAGGGCTCTTTTCTCGAACGGTCGGTGCGATACCTGTTCTTTTCTTTGTATCATTTTTTGTTTTCCGAGTGGTTTGTACGTTATTTTTGTTTTGTTTCCCCGCGGCGTCGTATGTGCCGGGTTTTGAGACCACGGGCTCCCCATTTTTTGTGGACTATAGAGCTAATGTGAGAAACAACAACNAACAACAACAACAACAACAACAACAACAACAACAACAACAACAACGACAACAACAACTGTACGCTGGCGCTTCCGCGAGGAATGAAGTATGGTATGCATACAGACGATATATTAATTTTGACGGGTTCACGTACTCGCACACACACCTGCAGGGGGAGTTGACATGCAGTAGTATGTAGCACGAGCAAGCGCAGTTAGTCCTCACCGACACAACCAACAATGATGCTTTGCGCCCGTTACGGATTGTCCCTGCTGCCGCGGCCTACCTCATGTTCGAACCGCTGCCCTTTGCTGTTCACCGTGCGACCCCCGGCGCCTACCACCTCCTCCACCGCAGACTCCCGCCTGATCCTGTCGATCATGACCCTGATCTCCTCCTGGCTCGGGGCAACGGCATCCAAGTCGCCGATCCCCCGGAGGGCATCCTCCTCCTCCTCCTCCTCTTCCCGGTCCTCCTCGGCTCTCCTGCCCCCGAGGATGGTGCGCCTGCCGACGCTCCCGATGCTGCTGGAGCGGGGCTTGGCGGCGCCGTTTCTCTCGACGGAGAGACGCTTCCTGGCGGAGCGCCTCGTTCCCGCGCCGACAGACGGCCGCTCTTGCGAGGAAGACGCGGTAGGGCGATCCACCGGCCCTGTCCGGGAGCCCCTGCCGCTCGACGGTGCCGTCGTCTGCTTGGTTGCTGAGGTCTGGCTTCGGCCGTTGGCCATTAAAGACAGCCGACCAGCGGAACCCGCCCCCGCCTTTCCTCCCGCCAGTCTTGCGTTGCTGCCGGCGTAGCCGCGACGTGCGTCGCTTCGTACAGTCGAGGATGATGGGGTGGATGTCCTCCGGGAGGTGTTGCTGCCGGCGGCGGGCTGTCGCCGTTGATGTTGTTGTTGCCTGGATGCTGATGTTGATGTTGCAACGGCGGGATCGTCTTCCACGGAGCCCCAGATGCTCAGGTGCTCACTGTCGGGGTGGCTACCCTCGGGGCTTATTGTGGCCGGCACTTGTGGTTCCATCCGTGAAATTATCCCGCCCCCCTTTCTCCTGGTCGCTGCACACGCAACGAGACACGCAGGAGCGTGTGTGCGCCAAACCAACGGTGTCTCTGAACAAGGGAGAGCCGGCTTGAGACGCGCGGCGCAACTTGTACTTCACGACGAATGGCAGACGGACAAGTTTTTCGTAGAACCATGGTGTCACGGTGCCCCTCTCGCCAAGCCCACGCGCTTTGCACGCTCTTGTCATGCTGCTTCACACCACGAGAAGACCTCGCTCCGCCCGGCACTTTCCAGAAATCTCTGCAGGCTTACGGGTGCTGTAAAAGTCACAAGATTTTCTGCGCAAGACGCTCAAAAGAAGCGTGTCCGGAGGAGAGGAACACGAGCGAACAACTCATCTGGTACAACAGCAGTATCCTGGAAAGAGGAGAGGACACACAACACCGCGGCACTGCTGCCTAGCCTACCGCGTGAATATCCCTCTGCCCATTCCTCCTAGACGGCAGCGGCACACGGGGGGGGGTGGATAGAAGCAACTCGACCAGCCGAGCGTCGATAGCAACACACGAGGTGGACTGGCGATCGGCGGACACTCGGCGGTACACACAGAGCAGGCAGGTTCCACCGCATCTCGCCGCATCCTGCCCAGACGAAGAAAAACTCTGCTGTCACAGCACCCCGTGCAACCAGCCGTGGGAAAAGATGATTTACAACCTCTACATCTTCAACAGAAAGGTGAGCGTCGGGTAATTGATGCCTGCAGTATCACGATCGCCGTGTGGGACCGGCCCGCTGCTCGTGTTGGACACCATCTCATGCTTCATCATGACACCTCCCTTGCTGCTGCCCTGCCACAAGCAGGGTGCACTACTGCTGTACAACACTTCAACTCCCACCCCAAGCATCGCACCCGATCCCGCCCCACACAGTCTGGTGTCTTATTCGCCGGGTTCTTTCTGTTTTGCGCTGAACAAACGCATCCCTTCCTGTATCATGTTGACACTGCAATCAATCCCCAGCCGCAATGCCTGAGGCGAATTACACCTTTGCTGCCTACCCCGGACGCTCACAGAGCTCGCTCGCTCCATGTTGGCATTCTGCGGCCTGTTGGATGAAGCTGTTAACAGTTCGGGCTCAAATATGATATTTGTGCTGCTATTTACAGTAGTGTCTCATTTGTAGAACCTCGGGGTATTGGCAGGGGAAGTGTCTGTACTACCGGGAGTGGAACCGGCCGCAGAACACGCTGGAGAACGCCGCGGACGATGGAGAGGAGCAGCGGCTCATGTTCGGCATGCTCTACTCCCTCAAGGTGAGATGTGTAGCGCGGCCGTATAACACGTAACAGCAGTAACGGTGTTGTCACAGTTTCGACCGTCACAGCAGTCGCCGCCACACGCGCAAAGCGCCGGCTGTGCTGTGGCGGGCTGTCAGCTAGAACTGTGCCTCGATATTTGGCTCAAGGCGGGCTCCTACTCATGGCGTTGGTAGAGTATGGCGCCATTGCAGCGGGTGACCTTGGGCAGTACATTGTCCCGCACCGGCAGAAGCGAGGACACAACCCCGCAGGGTATTTTAGACGTCATCGCAGATTTGGCTGTTGTTATGACTCACCACGCGCTGAAAGACTAATGGCACTATTCAGTTCAATCAATGTGGTGACGCGCATTGGCAACATGACGATGTTTTGGTGCGGGGTCCGAGCGTCCGTTTCCCAGTTCGTTCGTGACCTCCGAAGCCTTTTTGAGTCGCACAAATAGTTTTTTCAGCACCATCGCACCCGCCGGCGACGAGAAGACAATGAATGATCCCTCCCATGCCTCACCACTCAAGTTTCGAACTGGAGGCGTCAGCCCTTTCAGCGGCACCGCACAGGATGTGTCACATTCCGAGATCCTACCATCGTAATTACAGTCGTTACATTCGTTTCGGCCCCTCCTACCCAGGACCTGGCAATCAGAATACCGCAGGTGACATAGCATAACATACGCGTTTGCTGACAGTATTGCAACAGCTCTCGCACAGGTGTGCCATTCTGTAGGGGGCGTCTTTTCTTGTATAGCCCGTGTGATAAAATGCGCTCGCACGACCGCACCTACAGCGGGGGTGACATCGAGGATGGCACTTGCCGCTTTGCCGCGTGTTTTATGAAATGCGTCCTCGCGCTATCCTGCGGGGCACCCCCCTTTGGCCTGCTTTATGTCGCCCTCCATTACCAAGTTTTTGTCGAGACACGCGAACCGGACACCCCGCAAGCACACTCCAGCACAGCAGACGGCGAGGGGCACTGGCAATATTCGCTCTCATGGCTCTTTGTTGGTCATTCCCGCACGATTTTTTGTTATTCTAGCTTGTGCTTCTCCGGCGGGCGCTTTCCGTACACGTTCATGTGTCACCGACATCACCACCGCTGTCTCTGTATTCATCTCTCACTCTGTTTGCTGCCCATATCTCCGACAACCGCACCGCCATCAACATCAGGAGGTGGTCACGAAGATGTCGACCGACCCGGCGTCCGCGGGGCTCCACGCTCTCAAGACGGACTCCTACACCCTGCACCACCTGGAAACCGGCAGCGGGCTGCGCTTCGTCCTCAACACGGACAATAACGCCGGCGACCTCCGACCGACCCTCAGGCAGCTCTACTCGGGGATCTTCGTCGAGTACGTGGCCAAGCACCCGCAGTTCAACCCGGTGGACGGCAGCCCGATCCGGCTGCCGGCCTTCGATTCAAGACTAGAGGAGTACCTCCGGAGCCTGGCTTGCTTCAAGTCTTGATGTGTTTTTGGTGATGGCGTGTGTGTGTTTTTGGTTTCTATTGTTTAAGTGGACCGCGCAATAACGATGTGCTGTGTGTGTGGTTTGTGTTGCTTTGCTCCAGTATGTAGGAGGTTTGCGTTGTAGGGCGGCGATTGTCTTGACAGCACTTCTTCGACTTTGTCATATGGTGTTAGTCTAAACCATGTGTACGGCTGCTTGCCAGCGTTCTTGTGTTCCTTTCTTCACCGACTATGCTGCTCGTGCCACCGCTTTTTTGCAAATTCGAACTAGTGAGTAACACGGGCTCCAACTTATGCTATAGCTCCCCTCTCGGTGAAGTTGCATGTGCGTGTAGCGAGTCCCTCCGAAATATTGCCTGATTTTTTCAGGTTGTGCGTTTGCCACGGAACCCTTGTAGACGTATTCCGAGATGGAGTTGTTGCTTGTCTGGATCTGGGGGATGTTCTTCCTGAACGTTCGACTTCGCCGCCGAACGGAATTGCTTCGATGACTGTCGATGTTTGTGTGATTGTGTATTGTTTTTATCATTCCCGGAACATACAGCATTGCTCCGTTGGGGAATGAAAGCTATTGGGCGCGCTTTGATATGTGCCTGATGGGGCGAACTCTTGAGCTGCTGCACATGGTTGCAGGTGTTCGAACGCCCATTGCCACACAACCCCGCGCCCCGTCAACCGGAAAGCACTCGTTGGGGTTGTTAGTCTTGGTGCATCGTATCACTGGGGTTGTGCTAGTCAGGCATGGAATACAACTCGCGATGCCAGCGGTGTGTGCCACCTTTTTCTTCGCGACACCCTGCAGCCTTCATTTTCGACCCAGGGCAGTTGATTCAATGTGTGACTAACAGCGACGGTGCTTCCTCCTTGAACTGCTGCCGGTAACTCTCATGGACCGACCGAGAGAAAAGCCTTACTTTGCACCTGTTCCGCGCTGATCTAGCCGGCAAGAACCCAATCGCCGATTGACATTCACATGCAAGGTGCATCGAAATCCGAAGACGTAAAAACGACGATCTGCTGTAATGTACATGTTCCCCCGACAAACGAGGACAGGTGGGTGAAGAAACGACGACGAAAACAAAAGGCGGTACGTTCGGCTACCACCTCACCGTACTAAAAAAACAATGAGCAAGAAGGGAAAGGGCAGTAGCAAAACCTTGAACACATCCCGAAAATGGAAACCATCTCGCAAACATGTCGAATCGGCAGTCCAGTTTACAGGGCCGAGATCACATTTTCCTATCGATGACCTGCACGCCGGGCCAGACTAGCTTCTGGTGGTGACAGGTGAGGTATACCCGCCGCATAGAGGCGGGCCATCGTACTGCGTCCAAGTTACAACAGAATCTGACACCAAAACAAATTTCTTGCAAAGACTCTGGCCACACGACGTTCTGGACGGGTTGGTTAAAGTGCGGCCCAAGATCTAGGCGCTCCAGCGTCGCAGGCCAAGCCACTTGCTCGATGGAACCAAGGAACCTGTAGCCAGATCAAGCCACTTGAGGCCGGTCGGCCACGAGAAGCTGTCGTGTACCTCGTCTTTGTGGTATCCGGTGAACAGCAAGCACTGCACGTTCCCCCAGAGCTCCTTCCGGGAGAGCCTCAGCTCCAAAGTCGGTAGTTTCCACATCACGCGACGCGGTCCGAACGGTGGCACGCGTGTCCGTGTGCGCGCCGCGGGCGGCTTCTTCTTCCCGGCGAGGCGACCTCGAGGCCCCGGGGCGGCATTCTTCCACAGGTGCACGGGCGTGCTGCGTTCCACGCTCAACGCCAACGTAGGCACCCCCCGGCAAGCCTTGCAAAGGTCAAGGGACGCGAGTTAGAGTTGCTGCGTCGACGTGTACCACTTCTCTCCGTCGCAAGCAAGGTCGAGGGCTACGATAACGGCTTCCAGACATCGGCCGTCTGAGTGAGACACAAGGGGTTTTGAGTTTGTCATATCATGTGCGGCGTGCAGTGATGATGCAGGAGAGCGAATACAAGCTTATCGATCTCTGGAAATGGGAAGAAACCGAACATCTACCATGACCACGGCATGGACGAAAAGAGAAATAAGTACACATACAAAGGTGTGTTGATCGAAGTGAGTGATTTTGTCAACGTCAAAGCGTGGGTCCCCCTCTTGACTGCAGTGCCCACAAACGTGTCAATTTGATTTTGTTAGGGGTTGACTTCCCTCGATGCAGAATAGACTCGATCGACGTGCGTGCTTCACATTTGATGCTACCGCCTATCGCCCCACTTTCCGTTGCACAAACGACCGTACGGAGTAAAATACACAGCAGGACTTGTTACCCCTACAATGGCGACCAACAGGTCGAAAGATAAAGCTCTCGATTGGCGGGGAGAAAGGACGATCATGTAACGTCGAGAAGCTACCCACCGTTGTGCACTCGGGTCCCTCCTTGGTGAAGTCCTCGTGTGTGTGGCAAGTAACTCGTGTATGTCTATCGCCATGAATAAAAATCTAAAACGGCAAATCCGTCCAGCCTAGACTACGCTTATACTTCAAGAGATGCAGTCTACGTACACAAATCAAAAATAAATTGCCAGTGTATACACTGGACTGTTGTAAGTCCTTCTACTAAAGTCCATACTCTTGAAAGCGGTACATGGGTTGTCCTCGTTGGGGCAAAGCCTCGCATTTGCAGCACAGATGACAATGTCTCTCCCAACAGAGAAAAACAACTCTCACGATGCCCCAACCGTGAGGCAACTATATTTTAAACCTGAAACTTTGGAAGTGGTTCTGATGGATTGGGACCTGCCTTGGAATATCCTTGTTCCATCGTCTGGGAGAACGTACTGCAGTAGAGTAACGGAGAACGTTGCTCCTGTAGATTAAAGTGTATGACCGATAAACTCTATCCACAGCAAAGGTGATCACCCCCCGTGGCCAACCCACCTGACTGGACGTGGCTCATGGTCGTCCCCGGGGTGCTTCACGGCTCGCGTGGATGAGCAACGCCTGGCGTTCTTGCAGCGCGGATGAAGCTGCGGAACAATTTTGATCGTTTCCCGGAGAGGGACGTTGAGTCGAAAAGCAGGGGAGATGACGACAGGTACACCGCGCACATTGACATCTTCGGAGATCAGGCAGGGGCCCATAAATGGTTGGGCCACGGGGGGGTGTACTCATAGGGGGGGTGCACTCACAGGGGGGGTGTACTCATAGTCGTGCATGCCGTAGTCGTTAGACCATTGACCTCGCATCCCTACAAAGCCGGGACGGAGCACGCCGGGTTCTCACCGGACCAGGCTCTCACATCACCAAGCGCGAAGCGCCGTGAGATATTCGGCGAGTCGCATGAAGGGTGCGCTGCATCCTGCTAAGGGTGTTCGGCATCTTGTGCTTACTTCCTTGCGTACGGATGACAGCTGCGTATGAATTAATTTATTTTCTGGTGCTTTCACTTCCAGAGACAGTTGTAAGCACTGTGTAACTGCCTCGAGGGTGCTTGACCATTTTAACACAACGTGGTGCGATCATCCCCCTTGCGCGGAGTGAGGGTTCACCCCGCACAACATGATCTACTCAACCATCATTATGGTTACCGCCCAAAAAAAATAAACGGAGGAAAAAAAAAAAAACGGTAACCTGGTTGCCGAGTTCACGAAGTGAATTGGCTTGTTTTACAACGTCCTTGCCAAGCGACGAAAACTCAATCCCGATGGCAAACACCGGGGGCGGCGGCTTGTTTTACAACGTCGTTGCCAAGCGACGAAAAC